GTGATGAGCTGCTTAAAAAACTGTAATCTGACACCCTGGATCAAGGTAACAAGTCTGGGCATTATTTCAGACTCCAATTTACATTTTATGTCCCATATAAACAAAGTGACTAAAGTGGCATTCTTTCATTTAAGAAATATTGCCATAGTAGGGCCATTCCTGACCCAGTGAGATTCTGAAAGATTAACCCATGATTTCTTCTCAAGCAGACTAGATTATTGCAATTAACTTTTTACTGTCCATTAAGAAGATGCAATTTATCCATAACCCTAGACTACTCACAAAAACAGTGAAGACGGAACTCACTCCAGTCTTAGCTACACTACACTGACTCCCTGTAGCTTCTAGGAGTGATTTAACCTTTTCTTTACCTGCTTAATTTGTGTTTCCTGTTTTTATCCCTTTTTAAATTTGAAAGACTTTGAGTTGCATGTTTTGTATGAAATAAGCTATATAAATAATAGTTTATTAGTTATTGTTAGTTATTATAGTTTTTATAGTTTTAGATTATTTACTGGATGGATCACTTCTATTACCTACAGTGCAACACAAACGTCCTTTACAATGCCAGTTGAAATCTCACAGGAGCACCATGTCAGCAGATCTTTCTTCTGTGTGTGCAGTTTTGTAAAGCACTGACTAGCTAAAGTAGCTTATCACTTAGGTATGATGTCTTGTCTTTGTAGTTAAATGTTCCCAGCAAAGTGGTTTAGTTGTAGCGTTGCGTGAGAAAGTGGTTAGTGTAGAAAATACTTCAATGTACCCAACAATGTGTATTTGAATATAACTATCTATATCTATAAGACTTTCTATACAAGTCATGGTGTGCATATTTTAGCTACATGTATGTAACTAAAGATCTATTTTGAAATTGTAACAGACACGCACTACTAAATGTTGATAGTTTTTTTTCACGTGAATTCTCATTAGTTAGAATTTGTGCCTCCTGGACCAGCAACACCATTTAAATATACTGTAGCTTACTAACTAACTGAAAAGGCATAGTGCTGCCTGCTGAATCAAGCACAAAACACAAAATGTTTACCTGTGTCGAGAATAATAGTGGCATAAACTGTCAATTAGCTTCTGATATCTTGGTGTCATTTCTGTCCCGAGCCCCAACAGTACGAGTGCAGCAAAGTACAAAGAACTGACGGGGCTGGAAGGGACCGCACTTTGCAAACAGGATTGAACTGTATTTTATAATCGTACATTACCAGGTAACAAAGGTATTTGTCAAACACCCACAGCTGAACCAGGAGGTACGATCACATCACACCTGTTTTAGCCTCTTTATATTGGCTCCCTGTCTGTTTTAGGACTGATTTTAAGATCCTATTGATTACTTTTAAGGCACTCCATGGCCTGTGTCCACGCTAGAACTAAACAGGACTGAGCTTTTGTCACCTGAGCAAATCAGGCTCAAGCAGTGACTTCTTTTAGTCTCTTTTAAAAACGCAATTTTATCAGAAGGCATACTGTATCTTGACTTTATCTGAGCTGGCTGTTTATTTTAGTGTTTTCTATTGTAAAGCACTTTGTATGTTCTTTTAATAAGTGCTCTATAATTAAAGTTTATTATTATTGTTATTATTATTAGCAGTAGTAGTAATAGAAGTAGTATTATTAGTATTATTATATAGGCTACACTTCAAACACAAAACTCAAGCCCACATATACACCACTGCATGTTTGCACATACATATACACAGTTGATTATCTCTTACTTAAAAAGGTAAGTTGTCAAAGCCCCTAAACAACATCAGAGGTTTTGTGAAAGCAACTAGATTGAAGACGAAAGCAGGGTTACAACCTATTGGGTGAGTAAAAAATCATTCAAAGACAAAACTAGGTCCAGATTGGGTCTTTAGTAATAGTAATTCCTTTTTGACACAGATAAGGCAGATCCAAGGGAGAAGATACAACAAAAAAGTTACATCTCACCATAAAATAACACACTGACCATCACACAGCTATTGCTCATGTCCAGTGAAACAGCTTCTATTCATATTCTGTATGGGATCTAGAGCTGGCGTCTGCATCTGCCAGCATCATGCCGCATCATCACGCAAATATGGAACATCAGTAACATCAGTAAACTAACCAAACTGTTATGTCATGTTTAAGTCATTTAAAACTTGAACAGGTAAAGTCAAGATGGATTCAATGCAGGCGAGAATCACCTGATCAGCCTTGTATTCCAACGCTTTACAACCCAATACATTTTATTGCACATGTGAATTACTGTGTATGCAGCCTGTCTGCAGGCTGCAAGTACTTACCTTAAGGTTATGACTGACTGACACAGACTTTTTATTCTTGACCAAAATACTATTTTTGCCTTGAAAATATTGTCAAACTCTTATCAGCAACGTAGATATCATGACCAAACAGGTGGATATTGTCATTGGTCATTTTACTTGTGTTGAACAGTCTAATATGTTTGCAAAATTTTATCACTTAACTATAATGTTAATGATAAAACCTGGCGACATGACACCTTTGGAAATGTCTTAAAGTGGTAATTGAAGGGACTGTGTGATTTTACTAACATTCAGGGCAAAATATGATGACAGACAACAACAGAATCTGCCTTCTTGGTCTTCGGTAGGCCTACTGTTTTAACCACATCACGGAGTCATTGTGGCATGCATGTCTTAAATCTGGGGTTGATGAAATGTCCTCTTTCCTTGAATCCAAACATACACAAAGCAGTTTATTTAGTAGCTAAATAAACTTTCACTGAATGCAACTTATAAGACTAATGTGGACATAGCCATACAAATATTTTTAATGCTGTTGTTTGGGGGAAAAGTCAAGCTATGGGGTAAACTATCAGGATATTTTAAAACAAATTTAAACATAATGTTAAGTTCTGATGTAGACAAGCCAACAACTTTCAATGACAACGTTCAGTTTTCACCTGAACTGACAGGGATGTTTTGAAGCAGCTGAGTACAGACCTATGGTACATACAGAGCTGCTGTTCTGTGACAGACCTGCATGACTCCACCTACGGGCCAGCACGAGTACAACAAACTCCGCATGCTGCTGGGAAATGAAGCCTAGTCACTGCAAGGGTAGCCTATTTTAAAAGGTAGCATTCATTCCCACCACAGGCTATCACGCACAGCTGGCTGCTTGCTTTCAGTGTCCTCCCGGTCTTTATTATCTTTGGGGAAATACTAAATGGAACTACACGCGATTTAATCACAGTCCAGACAAAGAAGCCTATTTATACAAGCCTTTGCTATAAAATATAACTTTTTTGGAGTTTTCGGTAAAATTATGGCGACCTTAATGTGTCCTTCATAGTTTTTGGTGCGTCCTACCGGTGAAAACCGCGTTGAGGTCATCAAACCACATGCGACATAGATGATCTGCACCTCTGCCTGAACCGCACAGGATGAATACTTAACCGGAAAACACGCCGTTTGATTTGTAATCGCCTACCCGAGCCACATTAACATGGTCGATCACCGGCAGTAGGCTACATAGACTGTGTGTCTATACAGACAGTAGTGTAGGCTTCAGTGTATTATAACAGGGCATGAAGCGGATTATCAGGGTAGCATTGACGCCGGAAGCCGCGCTGTTCCCGTCATTTGTCGATCAACAGCCCGTTATCGGCATATAAAGGTTGCTCGCACACGTGTTTATTTGTCGCATTTAACGTCCTACCTGCATAATTGAAGAGAGGATGCTGCCTCGCGAGCCTGCGGTACCGACATGGTGGTGGTGGTGATGATGAGGATAAGGTCTCGGGGTTTGTTGGTCTCGTGTTGCGGCGAGATTCCTGTGTGATGTGAAAGGAAATCAGACTCCTCCGGTGTCCGCCGACTTCTCAGGACTCAGCCTCGTTGTGGAATGAGTCATCTGTGAGTGAAACAGCCTATGGCTACTTCACAGAAACGCAAACATGTGTTTTTGTGTAGCTAAATTGTTTTGCGAAACGTGTTCTTTCAAAGTGTATTCAGCCTATGCTAATCTTATATGACAGGATGGCATAAACCAAATGACAGTCATTTAGTTTATTATAGTGGCAGCAGCCTTTTCAAAGAGGGCTGTTAGAAATGCATGGTTGTGCAATACAAGTAACAAAAACCATCACCATGTCAATACCTACAACCGTCGGAGGAGGGCAGCAGAGACCGCATTTACTCTCCAGCATAGTCAACGCAGGGGCAGTATTTCATGTTGCCATTGTTGGGGAGTTTGACCACATCCGTCCAGGTGTAACACCTGATTATTAACCCACCGAGTAACGGTTTTTATTCTGTTCAAATCTGCTTGTCACCCGCCCATGCCTTTGCTCATTAAACAGTTAGGTGTTTCCGTATAAGGAATTATGACATGATACTTGCTGCAACAAGGTTCAGTTCAAAGTCTGGTGGTGGAGCTGTCTTTAGTTTTCACATGCATTTTTGTAAGGAGGCAGTCTAAAACCATTTTTTGACTCTTTCTTACAAATGACTATAAGGTCTAAACCAAACAACAGCCAAGAGCTTACCACGATATCGTAGTTTTATTAGTGTTTATATAACATATATACAATATTTGCTATAAATAGCAAAAATAACACACATCCCAACAGAGATACCGACAGTGACACATAATGTCTACAAATTCCATTTGCACAGACACTGAAGTCTATGGTGCAAATTCATACACACTGACCCTTTGGGTCTTACAGGGCTGTTTCAATGGCCCTTAATCACTTAGTCCGCAAAGAGGACTAAATATTTAACGTATACATACATGCAGATTTTAAAAAAATACGACTGTCTAAACTTGTCAACTCATACAGGACAACAGACTCGTGCGCAAAACGTAAGTATATAATACTCAACTAGTACAATTTAACGATGAATTCTGGCTTCTCATCAACGGAAACGAGGCGATGAATCACTATGCATATTTACAAGTGATGCTATCTCAACATGTTGCATACATATGAAACACTGTACAGTCTTTCCACAGGCTTTTGGGAGACCCGGTCTCTACCAGGGTCTCCACATGGCAGCGCTGACAGCCTGCGGGCCTGGCTGCCCTCGGCTGGGAACTACTGCGCCGCTGCGGGACTGGCTGTCCAGTCTGGAGCTGAAGCTGGATTTTAGGCTCAGGAGTCTTTGTTGAATCTGAGGGAAAGCCCTGGTGCTCTGAGCGCAGCAGTTCATGCAGGATGGGGTGAACGTGGCTGACGTGGACTGCTGGACGAACTCCTTCACCCGCTGGCACGCGTCCTGATCCAGGCTCGTTTTGGGAAGCAGAGCGGAGACGCGCTGGAGACAGGCTGTGTAGCCTTCCTTGTAACCGGCTGTAGAATCTGAAAAGACAATTAAATGTTAGCTTCGATGTTCAAAAAGGATAAGAGCCAATTATATATACATGAATCTATCAATAAAAGCGTTAAACAAGCAGAACCATAACTCACTTTTGGTGTTAACAGGGGGGATGTCGCTGAGGAACCTCACAGTCATTTCCAGGATGTCGGCTTTCTCAAGCTTGGAGTAGCGAGTCTTCTGAAGAAAATATAAAGCAAATGTTAAACATTTGAGCCTAAACGTTACCTTAACTTTAGTTTATCTAAAAAGTATTTTTCTGCATATGTTGAAATGCATATTATAACTTACATCTCTGCCTGTGAGGGGAACGATGAGGTTTTTCAAATGGTTTAGGCTGTCGTTGATGCGGGCGCGCCTTCTTTTTTCCATCAGAGGTTTCATAGTCTGAAAAGAATACAGAATATTTAGTATTCATTCATTGCATCAAGTGTATGACATCTCATACATGTTTAAGATAATGAAGCAAAATGCAGTGACTTCGCTTACCTTTCTGAGTTCAAGAGCCTCTTTTCTTTTAGCCACAGTTAGCCTGGGACAAAAAGACTGGAGAGCTTCACAAGTCATGTTTGGAGACATTTTCAGTTTCGTCTTTGTGCCAAAGAGGTGTCCAGAACAGAGGTCGGCGAAGATGTGTGTCTAACGGTCAAGGGCTGCAGTATATATCCAGGTCCGTGGCGTCGGTTCCGTGCGTCACAGGTACGCCCCCAAGCCGACACGAAACGAATTGGATTGGCCAAGTATTCGATGAAAACAACACAAAACCATCACATATAGTAAGATAACCATCTGTCTTCAACTCTAATCTATGCATAACAACTGCAGAGCGTGTCTGCGTTATGATCCATTGACTAAATCAAACAAAATGTGCGTCAAGAAGCTGAAGAAATGCGTGCGTAAAGAAGCTTAAAATTTGGAAACCAATGCTCATTTACCAAATAACTCTATATTTACTATACTACTATATACTACATTTACATCATACTAAATAGTACATTTAGGTTCATTATTATATAGTAGTTGGAATATGGTTAGTAAATAAACCAGTGCGTAATTAGACAGTCCTCAGAGATGGCTGGGAACTAAATGTGGGCTAGATTCTTTTTTTTGTGATCTTACTATGAAACATAACATATTGTAAAATGTATTTTCAGTATGCATTAAGATTTTATTCACGTTTCTTTATTTATAGATGTGCACACTTAAAACAACAGGGTGTAATACATACAATACTGGCATAGGGGTCAGGCTTGCGTGTATGGAAAAGTGTCCACAGAGATACAGACTCTTACTTCAGTCTCATACCCAAGCCACGCTACTTTCAAATAGCATCTGCTCATAGATTTTGACAACAATAGTTTTGCATATGACGTTTTTATGCAGTTTCAGTCCGAGGGGGAGTCTCTACCTGTAGGCTGTATCCCCCGCTGCCTACGTCTCAGCAGGCTGGTGGGGGTTAAAACAGAGGATGAGTAGTGAGGCAGAATGTACTTCAATCTCATTAGCCAACTCGAAATATTAAATGAGCCTATAGGGTTTTTTTAAAACTGATTAGGCGTTATAACTACTTAGAGTATTTACTGGTGGACATGGACTTAATAACTGACCGCCGAATCAAACTTTGAATCACAGCTTTGAATTATTTTTATTTTTTAGAAAACCATAGAGACATAACAATCCATCAAATACCACTGCACTCAGGGGAACCACGCGCGGAGCACGCGCCACGGGGACCAGATGGCTGTCTGTTACGGAGCCTTCATCACCCCCACCCAACCTCCATCCATCGACCCCACCCCCACACTCTCCTCCTGCCCCACACCAACATCCTGAAGAGCCACTGTCGCTGTCCTACCATGGATGTACCCAAATCTCATCCATGCGCGCGCGTACACACACACACACACAAACACACACACACACAGAATGCATTGCATGCACTCACGCACTTTTTTAAAAATAAACTTCACTCGCAGGACACATGATCTCCACGCAGGTTTGGCGTGGGTAGCCCATCTGCATGCTTCTTATGGGCCCATGTTGTTATTGTCCAACTGAAACAAACCATTCTCCCTCCCGCCCCGTTTGGAAACTCCGCGCAGCAATTGTCTCTTTCAGCTTGTCTCCTGGATATTTTAGCGTCCAAGCTATCATGAAATGCTTGTTTATCAATATTATATGGTGATGACGAAACACGAAGCCCAGTCTGTTGAAGGAGGTAACGCACATCAAGAATCCAACAAAATACAACTTTCCAAAATAGAAACACAGAATTACAAATTTACAATATAGTAAAATATATGAAAGCAATCATATGCAAAGGATTGGATTTAACAGATATATCGTGTCTTAAATACACTGTAAATTATTTTCCGCCCTGCACTACTGGTTCAGTTTTATTCCCCCCACCCCATTCATTATGGCGCAATAGGATATTAAAGGTTTACATTTTAAATCGAGTTGGGGTCAGCGATGTATATCTTCGGGGTATTTCTACAACTTGAAATGAAAAAAAAAGTCTACAGTCGAAATGAGAAGGTCACCTTCATGTAGACATGATCTTGCTGTGCTGCTTCAACAAAGCCAAGCGCTACGCTGAAACTGAGAGGCACACTTGCTGCACGCGCCCTTCGCCGCCCCACTGGGATGGAGGTATGACTGGGTTGATGGGGGTTGGGGGAGGTACACTTTACACTCCGTTTTTCTCTTACGGTTAGAGTCCTCTTTTGTCTTTTCAAGCAAATTCGGCGTGGGTAACCCATCTGTGCAGGCCGGATAACAGGGAGCCTTTGTCTGAAAATGTTCCGACACTTCATGGGAATTAAGAGTCAACAGCGGGCTGTGGGATGGGGGAGAAACAGCGAGCGGGACTCCACCTGACTTTTACTCCAGCGTGATGTGAGCTGAGAGAAAACGGGCGGCTTTGGTGTTTTTTCTGCATCTCAAACAAAGGAGAACACCATATCCAGCTCTAACAATAAACAACGTTTGATCGCCACATGTGTCCATCAACAGGTCTAAATTCTTTCATTTAACGAAAGAGAATGTGTTGAGATAATGGATACAAGCTAGTGCTTATTATTCCTTTATTCTTCTCAATATGTAATAAAAGCAATCTTGGGCAGACTTGATCACCACGCCTCAGTCTGCACTGTTCTTGTTGGAGTAGGCTATATCAAATAGGCCTATCCCAATTATAGAAATGAAACTAAGTATTTTTCAGTTGAATGTCCTTTCCAATAGTCTCCCCTTTCTTTTACCAGCTGATTGTGTCACAGGACAAAGTCAAAGTTGAGTCATTCTTGAGTCATTTGAATTTATTATGATGAAGACGTTGTGCCTCCCTGATATTGCAAGTAATTAGTTCTGCATACAGAACCATCTACAAGATGGACTTTGTATCCCTTCAGATGAGAATTCATTTTCTTACTTAAGTTTCTCTTTGCTACAGCTGAACTTTGTGCCTAATACACCCATTGTGAAATATAATAATACCAAGGTTCAGAACTATCTACTCATCCAATTGCACATCTCTACCCATTAAAAGACTATTCAGACGGTTTAGTACTGCACTTATAAAGTTGGGAAACTAAAAGGAGATGCACATGGGAGAAGTTTGCGCTCAGGGCTTTCTGCCAGAAAGCCTTTCTGCTTGGTTAGGTTTAGGCGCAAAATCTACTTGGTTAAGGAAAAAAAGTGCCAGAAAGCACCAAAGGCAGACCTCTCCCACGTGCAAAGGAGACAAAATTGATGCAGTGGCCAAGACATCCTGTTTCACGGATCAATCTACAGTGGATCCTACAGTTTCCATAATGCAACTCAATAGCAGCTTTCATGGACCCTCCCTGCTTCTTAAATGTCTGCTTTTCCAAACCTCAAACCTCCAGTTTGTAAGCAAGCAGAGATAACCCGGATGACATTATCAGGGTTATCTCAGACTTCGGGAAAGTTCTTTCCAGAGCCATGGAAAACATTATACAAGTGGCTGAGCTGTGCTCCTCTTGACAAGTGAAAAGTTTAGTTCACTCAGTTTTACTGTGTGTCACCACACAGAAACATTGATGCAAACTCCTAGAATACATTCAATGTCAATGTCTTTTTTTTATATCCAGTGCTTTCTAAAATATCTGCACATGGTAACTATGGTCTGGTTAATGTTTGAGAAACATTTTCTAGCAGACTCAACTACCATCCTGACCTCTAAAATGGACTTCCACACCTTCAAGTGCTACATAAAGGGATTGAATATCAGCGAAAAGTTGATTTTTTTCTGTAATTTAAGTCAAAAAGTGAAATTTTCATATATATTCTAGATTCATTACATATAAAGTGAAATATTTCAGGCCTTTCTTGGTTTTAATCTTGATGATTACAGCTTACAGCTCCTGGAAATCAAAAATCCATGTCTCAAATTAGTAGAATAAAGATTGCATAATACAGAAATGTCGACCTTCTGAAAAGTTGAACAGTTCTGAAAAAGGTTAATATATGTACTAAGTACTTGGTCGAGGCTCCTTTTGCTGGAATTACTGCATCACTGTGGCGTGACATGGAAGCAAATACCCTGCGGCACTGCTGAGGTTGCTTTGATAGCTGCCTTCAGCTCATCTGTTGTCTATTGTTGGTCTGGTGTCTCCCATTTAATTTAACAATAATACTATGGTCAGCAAGCCAGTTACTAGTTGTTTTGGCCCTGTGGACAGGTGCTCAGTCCTGCAGGAAAAGGAAATCAGCATTTTATAAAGTTTCTCAGCAGATGTGAGCGTGACGTGCTCTAATGATGGACTTGATAAAACACAGTGATCCAACACTAGCAGATGACATGGCACCCTAAATCATCACTGACTGTGGAAACTTCACGCTGGACTTCAAGCAACTTGGATTCTGTGCCTCTGCACTCGTCCTGCAGACTCTGGGACCTTGATTTCAAAATGACACTAAGAATACGACACTAGTAGCTCATTTCCTGGACACGTCTGTGTGTGGTGACTCTTGATGCACTGACTCCAGCCTCAGTCCACTCCTTGTGAAGCACCCCCAAGTTCTTGAATCAGCTTTATTTGATAATCCTTTCAAGGCTGCGGTCATCCCTGTTGCTTGCGCACCTTTTCCTACCACACTTCAACCTTCAAAGTCAGCCAGTCCTTTCAGCAATGACCTTCTGTGGCTTACACGGTCAAGTCAGAAGTCTTCCCTATGATTGTGGTTGAGTGTACTGAACCAGACTGAGAGATTAAAGGCTCTTCTCAGGTCGACATTTCTGTGTTAAAGATCCTTTATTTTGAAAGATGGATTTTTGATTTCCATGAGCTGTAAGCCATTATCATCCAGGTTTAAATATAAAAAGGAATATTTGTAATGAATGAATGTTATAAAAGTTTCACTTTTTGACTTAAATTACGGGGGAAATTAACTTTCACACGATATTCAGATTTTCTGAGATGTGCCTATATAATGACCTGATGAAGCCAAAACAGTGTCACCTTTTTTCTAAAACATATTAAGTTTTTTCTTTTGGAAAAGAACAAAGTGAACAATGTGGATCTGAGCCTTTAGAAGTTACTGTATCATAGTACTGTTCTCCAGTGTATACCTGCCTTTACTTGTGTAATGTCTGTCCCCTTTCCTCCTCTTTTTAGACAAAATTACTTTCTTAGCAAATAGTTAGACTATGTAAAACCTTTTCTTTTGTTTCATAAAAATGTAATTACATTTATGTGCATTGCACTGTCCCAACGTTTTGTCTTTTAATGGTTAAGCAGATATTTGTGCTTTTGTCGTGTGCAAATGATGACAATGACAAAATTATTTACTAACAAGCGGGTAATAAAAAAATGGCTATTTTAGAAACATGTCCGGCTTTAATTTTGAGGCAAAGAAAAAAACATTTTTCAACTATATTTATCTGTTCTTGATTGTCGAGATGCATTCTACAAACACAGCTCTTCTCAGTGCCATCTCACTTTACACTATGTTTATCTGGGCACTCCAAAGTATACATTGTGTTTTGTATGACAGGCTTTATGCATTCTGAGCAATGGCAAAGAGCCATGATGTATGCTGCTCCCTGCAATTAGAACATGCTTCAGTCAGACATAAACCTCTCTCTCTTTACAAGCTTTTAAATCTCAATTGAAGTCAAACCAGCTGTCAGTGTTAATAGATTTAATTTATCCATGTTTGAAAGAATTTTAATTTACTGCAAATCTGTTATTTTATCAATCTTTATCCTTTTGATCTTATAGTGTATGTTTTGTGTTCCATGACTATTCTCGTCTACCTTACACCAATCAGCCATAACATTATAACCACATGCCTAACATTGTGTAGGTCTCCCTTTTACCTCCAAAACATCACTGACCTGTCGAAGCATGGACTACAGTAGATCTCTGAAGGTGTGCTGTGGTATCGGGCACCAAGATGTTAGCAGCAGATCCTTTAAGTCCTGTAAGTTGCTAGGTGGGGCCTCCATGGATCTGATTTGTTTGTCCAGCACATCCCAAAGATGCTCGATTGGATTGAGATCTGGGGAATTTGGAGTCAACACCTTGAAGTTGTTGTTGTGTTCCTCAAACCATTTCTGAACCATTTTTGTTTTGTTGCAGGCGCATTATCCTGCTAAAAGAGTGTACATGATTTGCAACAATGTAGGTGTCAAATTAACATCCATGAATGGCAGGACACAAGGTTTCCTGGCAGAACATTGATCAAATCATCACACTGCCTCGGCCAGCTTGCCTTCTTCCCATCGTGTATCCTTATGCCATGTGTTTCCTACCGGTTGCGAGATCCCCTCATAGTCTTCTTTAATGTAAAAGATGATGGACCGGATCTCATTCTGTGCAAAAACAAATTTTCAGGTTCAACTAACGCTAACATAAGACTTAAAGACAGCAGTCTAAAACAGATCACGTGTGCCAAAATTCTCTCTTCATATTATTATCCATCCACTGTAGCTAAGGAAACACTGTCTGGAACCACAAAAAGGGAGTTTCATACATAAAAGAGATACCCACTTGACAACTCAGACCGATGAAGCCCCATATTAGTCCCCATATTAGTTGAACATTGGTTTGTTTTTTAAGGACTTTTGGACTGTTTGTCCTGCATTTTTCCATTAAAGTTGCATTAAGAATAGATCTCCTCACAGTCAGTGTGCACAGCAGGAATTCTAACCATGACAAATGAGCTTACTGCACATATGGACATGTGGATATTGTATAAGACAGAAAGTGTGAACTTGGGCTTTGAAGGACCATAGCTGTGTTTTGAATAGTTGCATTTCCTCTGAATTATTACTGACCATTTTCCACAGAATACGATGAGTTTTCATATACATTTCCTACTTCACAGTGAGCCACTGGTTTCAATTCATCCCAAAACAGTTTGACAGTCAACGTGGAGAGAGCTAATCCATATAGGGAATATTTCTTCACTATTGTTGGTCCATTCAACAATTTTCCAACATCCAAGAAGTATGACTTGTCTGCCTAAAGACAACTATGTTATCAGAAACCCGTGAATGTTGTGATTACCATAAGAGGATAATATCACACTGAATAAAATATACGTCTTGGGAATCGCTGACCCCTCCCATGTCCCGTATTCAGAATACAAACTGCTTCTTTCAGATAGATGCAACAGGAACCCAATTACAAACAGAAAAAGATACATAAATAGATATGAAAACTCTCTATCAGGGAATCCCAAAAACTCAGGACACAAACAGGGTGTGAAATGAGGGGCTGTGTTGTATGTGTCATGTCTGCACAATTTGTATGTATTTTATGTGGCAGAATTTATGTCTATTTCTCTATTTTTTAAATTCTCTATTTTTCTAAGCACAAATAAAGTAATCTGGAATCTTGAAGGATTTTAGACCGTATGTTGTTGTGTGTTTAAAAATAATACAAAAATTATACACTAAGTTAAGTATTAGAATGCTTTTTGCATGTCATTTCACATACCTGAGAAAAAATTGTCAGGTGAAATATATTCTGTCTATGTTTGCTGAAATGTTAAAAAGTCATATTAATGTGATTCATTCATAATGGCCAGAGAGCTTGCTCAGTGCACAGCTCATTTTCCGCTTTATGGGAAATGATTTTGTTGTTAAACAGACAGTATACCCACTACCCACTGCTTCCTACTGGATGGTGTCCACTGATAGGCTGTTAAATATGATTTAGATATCAGTAAAGTCTAGAGAGAGAGGACATAAATCATTTAATATAAACAAAAGCAGCTTGTGCAGAAGAAGCTGCAATAAGAAACATCTATGAGGCTGTATGATCCTATGATATAAAGAATAATGCATGACAAACAGAAGTACAAATTTCAAAATATTATTTTGTAAAAGTAGTAAATTCGGGATAATAGCCATCTACAGATATCAGAGAAAAACAACCAAGCCTTATAGTAAAGGATTATTATACTGTGATATGTAATGGTTCATTCCAGTTTTCCTATTATAAGTCTGCTATTGACAAATCACAGGGATATATTGACTAATAATGTTTGCTATTGTAAAATTACTAAGGAACATGTTTTTGGGTTATGTCAGATATGTCATTGTAATTCACAACTGCAGTCATCTCAGTGTGTGTCCCATCACACAAACAGTCCAACTTTTCCCACCAATTTGGCGGCAACTAGAGTCGCCTCACATCGACAATAGAGCAGCTGCTCATCAGCATCAATAGGCTCAGGCTGACCTGTGGCTTTATGCGTTTGCGCGCCTTTTTACTCATTACACATAGCAGAGATTCTTCTCACTCAGACGTCTGGGTTTAATGATAAATTTGGGATCTTTAGACCACCACAAAATCAAAGATCAAACAACACAACCATCTTTGACAAGAGTAGCTAATTTTATTGAAAAGCTTTTCTCAATGACAAAACAGTTGAAGTTTCACAAAACATGTTTTTCTTACATAATGTCAATGAATAATATGGAATCATATTTAACACATAGTGTTTACAGACTATTCTTTTGCACAGACCAAAATACCTTTAAGTCCATCGTGCAAACCTCAAACAAAATAACCCTTGGGGTTTTACAAAAGTGTTATGTATGTCTTTGAAACCCCAAAGAGGATTGCATTTTAAAAGTTCATATATTTCAGTTTCTATGAGATCTGTGCACCTTTCCTTGTAGCATTAAACGCAAAATGCTGAATTAAATCATTTTACAGCAACTCCAACAATTATTTCTCACTATTAGTTACTGGAATACAAATAGCATAAATGACATCACAAAATAAATAATGTGCGTGAGATGAATGTCTATCAAATCACTACCAGGGTCTCCACATGGCAGCGCTGACAGCCTGCGGGCCTGGCTGCCCTCGGCTGGGAGCTACTGCGTCTCTGTGGGACTGGCTGTCAGGTCTGGAGCTGAAGCTGGATTTTAGGCTCAGGAGTCTTTGTTGGATCTGAGGGAAAGCCCTTGAGCTCTGAGCGCAGCAGTTCAGGCAGGTTGGGGTGACGGTGGCGGACGTGGACTGCTGGACAAAGTCGTTCACCCGCTGGCACGCTTCCTGGTCCAGGCTCGTTTTGGGAAGCAGAGCGGAGACGCGCTGGAGACAGGCTTTGTAGCCTTCTCTGTAACTGTCTGCGGAGTCTGGAGGAAGAAGAGATTTGATTAGTGGCTTGCATTGCACGTGTAGCCTATAATCTCAAATAAGATTTTAAAGAAGATTCTGCAATGCATGTCGTGGTTTAAGAAATGGTGCTTACCTTTAACTGGAGTGGAAGGAAGGTCTCTGAGGAAACGGACGGTCATTTCCAGAATATCAGCTTTCTCCAGCTTGGAGTAGCGTGCGTTATCTTTGCCAACCAGAGGAAGAATCAGGCTTTTCAAATGACTGAGACTGTCATTGATACGAGCACGTCTTCTCTTTTCCAGCAAGGGTTTAAGAGTCTAGAAGAAATAATGAAGAACCGTTATTCGGCTGCACTTTTCAGAAACATTTCCAGTAACATAACAGCTAGAAGTTTATCTCTTTCCCTTACCTTTCTCATTTCGTTGGCTTGTTTTCTCTGGGCCACGGTGGACCTGGCAGGGAGAGGCTGGTTTGCCTCAGTGGTGATGCTGGGACTCATTTCGTTTGCTGTTTGTTGTTGTGCTTTTTTGAGAGGAGATACTTGCTCTTGCAGCGGCTGAGCTGAAGTGTGCCGAAGAGCTGGAGAGCCTCCTATTTATGTGGGTCCGGCGCGTCAGAGGGGAGGGAACACAAGCCATTGTGTTGGGGGTGTGACACAGGGGGGCGATGCCTTTGGGAGATGAGCGGTGCTCCTGTCAGGACCATCTGGTCCAGTTGGGCCCCTGCGTCTACCGCTGGTATGCGGAGTTTTGCGATGATATTGCGCTTTGTTGCGGTTAAAATTTAAAGCTTTAACGTTCGTCCAATATCCAATTACGCATACAAGCCATATGAAAACGTCGTTTTTCTTTCACCTGTACTCTGTATCAGATAGCGGCTCTTTTGAACTTTTCTACAGTAAGGATTGCCCCTTTTTTTCGCCTGGCTTGGTTATTAAATTTATATTCTTTCTGTTTATTGGAGTGCTTATTTTTGCTTTGAAGGTTCTACCCAAGTGAGAGATCAAATCCGTAAAGGGTCATTTTGGTTTGATTAGATACCTGAAAGTTGCATTGCTGAAAATGAACAGTTAGAAAGTTAGATCAGAATACACAAAATCAGTAGCCTACATTTATTGATGCTTATGGACTCGACTTCTCTTGCCGCTAGCAAAAAGCAACACATAACCAGATGAGTGATTCTGAGGTGACAACACTAATCTATTCCTACAATTAATAAACCAGATACCCAAGCCACGCTATATATGGATTAACATCTGCTTGTGGACCCTCAGCAGCTTGTTTCCAGTATCAACAACGTGGTGTTTACCTGGAGCAGTGGGGGAGGAGACTGAGTGACGTGGACAACCTGCAACATAGGCAGATAGGTGCTTGCATCCGTGGAGTATGAGCATAGCAGAAAGAAGAGCTATGCATTACACAAGTCTGCTGTGACACTGAATGGATAACACGGTGAGGAACAGGCCTATAATTCAGTAAAAGACGAGCTCTTTTGACGTGATACTCTCTATTCTATGAACACAATCCGAATATTATCATTATTGTGTTATATTTAAGATTGTAGATATTAAATCAAAACGTTTTTATTTCAACATCTTCGAAGAATTTCAGTTGACCATTAACTAAACACAGTGAGTTGCCAGTGGGATTCACGCGTTCGGCACGCTCCACAGCAGATGGGAAGCCCCCCTTGTTTCTCATCTTCCGTCTCTGCACACCGGACACACCCCCTCCTCTGTCTCCCACAGTTGCACCACTCTGCTGCTCCCTCCCAGCATCCCGGTCTCTGCTCCAGTTCTTGTGCCCCTTTACCATCAATGTGCTTCAATTAAGTTTTGGTCTTTTTTAACGGCGCAGAAATAATATGTCTATACAAAACAAAGCAAGTAAAAACAACACGCATAACAAGATGCTGGCAGGAAGTCTTAAACCGATAAGTTCATGCTGGAAATACATTAAATAAAACTAAACAGATTTTAAAATATTGTTTATATTTAAAATGATGATGTAGCCAAATGTCCTACAACAGATTTTTTAAACCAAATTCAGTTAGAGATCGCCTTGTGCTGAATATCATAGAACACCACATTTCTGACCGACTTTTTATTTAAGCACGGAATTTCACTTCCAACCTACAACAAAAAAATAAAGAGCGGGAACATGTTCAACACACTGAAAGATCAGCTGATTTATTTGCATCTGGAAATATATCTAGTTCAACAAGCACAAGTCAAGATTGTAAAGATAACGCTGCTCCTCTGCTGCACCTGCAAGCTGCCCTGCTGTAGCTGCCTGAGGGTTTTCAAAAACAATATTCAAGCATTATAGATGCGCAATTTTGCACGCGTCCTGCCCCATGGGGCCCTAAATAACTGCCATCAAGTCCAGTCTGGGAATGGGCCCTTCGAGATAAGACCCAAAAAAGTCATAGGGAGGCTTCGGTTGGGACCCTTGTTGTCCTGGTTTCAGCCAGCGTGGGTATCCATCTGTGCAGGCTGACAGCACAGTGATCCTTTGTTGCAGGACGTTCAGAAAAGTGGATTCACAAAGAATTTTCCAGCAACTGTATGGGAAAGGGATGTGATTACTTTCTTGGTTTTCTTCGACTTAAACTACAGGCTGTTGAATTCAGTGCCTGCCTATATGTTTGATTTAAGTCTGATAAAAGAAAAAAACTGGGTAAAGGTTTTTAGCCTAATTTTACGGATTATTAAGAATTAGCCAATAAGTATAATAACAGCACCGTCACGTTTGGGGCAAGAGTCTGGAGCACAGGGTGAAAACATCTTAAAGCTGAATCCTTGAGTTTGAGAATACTATTCTGCTAAATCAGAATGTGATCGTATAAACGGCATGAGACTGACACGAGCCAAAGCGCTCAGACAGATGGAGCCTGTGCAGCTTCACTGATGCATGAAACCAAAAGCGTCGACGGACTCCCTGCCTTGCCAAAGGTGATCGTCTACATCGCCACAGAAGCTTCCAGACTTCTGGGTTTTCCAGCCTTCAAATCGTGACTGCAGCTGAAAGGATGTCTGGCATCCCAAGCCAAAATCTACGCCAACATTATCCGCATCATACTGAAGCATCTGTAGGCTAGGACTGCTGGCTGGTGTTTGGGTATACAGCAAACATTTGAAGTTTGTCCTGTTGTTGTCCTCTTGTTCCCAGTTTGTGGTCAAATCCGACCACAATGACTCACTTAATTGCTATAAATCTTTTTATGAATTCAGAATTGGTTCCACTAAATTGTGTGATGTGATATGAAGTATAAGGACATTTAACTTATGAAATGCTGAAATACTTGATACTTGACAACCACATCAATTTATTAAATGTGTCTTTAAGCAATTTTAAGTCTGTGCATCACTTTCTCTGAGCCTAACAGTTCTCAATTTTACTTAATCATTAACACATGTCTTTGAAAAGGGAGACTGTATTTAAACATATGAAATGTATTTCAAACATATAAAATAATTTCAAAATATTATGATTGCAAGAGTTTGCATTTGTGAGTGTCTAAGAGGAAACAATGAGAAATGTCTTTTTCTAATGGAAACTTATTATATTGTAACTAATTCTAAATCAGCAACTCTACAGTGGGTATACCATTTTGCTGTGTCTTTAAAGTCACAGACATACAGCATGACCACATGACCAAGCAGCTAGAGAAGAGGTCATAGTAAATAGTCGTCATTATCCTTATTTCAAGTTAGATGTAAAATATTTCTTAACCATTATTTAACTAGGAAAGTCACATTGAGGTTAAAATCTCTTTTACAAGTGAGACCTAGTCAAGACAGGGTCAGAGAGCAGGATCGAACAGATAGACAAGCAACAATAAGAAACCAATCACAACAATATCATTAGGTACAACAGAAAACACAGAAAAACAAGTCTCTACCACAACATTTTGTACAACACTGAGACACAGCACAACAACACAAGCATTTAGGTATTACATAATACCCTACATAGTACTCTTCACAAATTTAATTTAGGAGTTAAGCGGTAATAGAATTGGAAAAGCAGCTGCAGTTAGCAGTGACCTCCTCCTTTGTTCTATGTTTAAAATCATTTAGAGAGATGAGGGATTGAAGTTTGAGCTTGGTCTGCACATCATTCTAAGACCAGGGGCCATAGTAGAACAAGCTTTCCAGCCTCTGTTCTGATTGCAGGCACTTTGAACTGTAGCCAGTTTGTGACCTTAGATTATGATGACTTTGAAAAGTTAAAAATGTCCTGTTTAAATAATTTGGAAATTTACCTAAAATGATCTTATAAATTAAAATATACCAATGTTCAAGCCTGCGCAAGTGAAGAGATGACCATCCTACCAATCTGTACAGTATACAATGATGTGTCTTAAAACTAAAATTAGTGACATATCTGAGAGCTGAGTGATAAAGGGGGTCAAGTTTGGGCAAGGTGGACAGAGAGGCAAACCTGTAGATAGTATCCCCATTATCAATCTGCGACATTTTTAAGTGACAAAACAATTTTAATATCAGAGAAGAGGATAATAAAGCAACACACACAACACAAAGAACATATGTCAATAAAACAGCATGTTTTGGCTTTCACTGGGGTTTGTGGAAAATTATTATTATTATGATGGAACAAAATGATCGAGCCTATTCTGGACTTTTCCATGTACTGACACACTGAATTGATTCAAGCCAGCACTCTCTTGTCTCCCCTTACTGTGGTACAGTGTCACTATCCCACATATAAATAATTTCATAGGGAAAAGCACCAGAACACAATGATTTACAGCCTTTAGTGCAAACAGACTAACATTTACAATAGTACTGTGTAGACACTCCAATCCAAACAACTATTTTTCCATCTGAAGTTTGCTGTCCTCGCTCTGAGAAGCACCTGATTCAGCGCCATGTTGGTGAAATATGTGCAGAGAACTCCTCCTTCATCCAATAACACTCAGTGATGATACTTGGCTGATCCCTGTTAGCGGGAGTTTTCTGAGAGGCAACATACTCTTCCACACAAAAACAGCTAAACGGCTAAATTCTGACTGATGATATGGTTTTCTCACAAATAATCCTTTGTTATAAGTGGCTTAGCAACACTACAGTTTTTACTTCTATGAATCCATCAGCATTCTCAGTTTGTTTAACTGACAGCAGCATTAATGGCTGTGTTGCGATTCAAGCTGTTTGGACAGGGAATTCTTAATTAGATGGATTGTATTTCTACCGGAAAAGTGAGCTTAACTGACTGTTCCAGCTCCAATATCAATAGCTTACCCCCATAAGCTATCTCTTCAGGAGCATGAAGCTAGACAGACTCAACTGTGCAATTCTCTTTCTTTTGGCTCATGGGCACATCTCTCTACTTTGAGTATCCCCAAGACTTCTTGTGGAGCAAAAATACATTCCGCATCACACAATGAAAGCTATTTTGCAGAGGTGTGTCTTCAGAAGTGAGATAAAACCAGGAACAGACTCTGTGAGCCTGATCTCCTCAGACCGATTGTTCC